AAAAAAACCTTCATAATTCAACGTTTTATCAGTAGTGCGAAAGAAAATGTAACCAAATGCATTTCTGCCGTTAGCAAAATTGCTCTAACCGAGTTTTGGATAGGTGTAATTTTCGCCGATTGTGTAGTGATTTGCAGTCTGTGGATCTGTCAACCGATTTTTATTTTTCTTATACATACGACTTGAGTCGAACTCTGCAAGAAAATGCGCTGGGAGTGTCGGACTGGCCAAACTTCAAAAATGCCGGAAAAGCAGATGCTACGTTTCATACAGATTCAAAGTTCATCTGGAATCGCTATCTTTTGGAGCCGTTGCGCGCAAATGCTGTCAGTGAGCAGTGGATAATTGAAATGGTTCATGGATACGTTGGTCTCTTTACTGTTCATCTATTTTTTATTCTTTTTAAATGAATAATTATATAAATGATACCGCTTCCGGTAAACAGATTAGGGTATGGGTTTTTACTTTGTGCAAACTTTATGCGCTGTTATGCATATTTCTTAATTTTCTTCTTTATTCCTAGACTGAATCAGAAAACAAATTTATCCAAAATATGCCTAATTTTCGAATGAAAAGTTTTGAGTCTGTACTTCAGCGCCTTCCCTATCGTAGTCCTAGAATTTTATCGTAGTCCTTCCTTGACTGTTTCACGCTTTGGTTCTTCAGCTACGTCACCTGAGGTAATGGCAAAGTCGCACTTAGGTAATGAGTATTTGCAGACTGTTGGTTAAAGGCCGGATAAAAGGGAGGAATTGTGCATAAAATGTACAGTTAATATAGAAGGAATAAAATAAAATTGTTTCGGTCCGTTAAATCGCATTAATAATGTAACGAAATACATACTGAAGTTATGAAACACACACACACGTGTAGTGGCATTTGAACAAAAAAACCTGGTACCATGATTCTTGTAGCTCGAACCCGAATCCAACCTAGTAGAAAGCGTACCGGCTTCCGGTACGAGAATGCGTTTTTTGCGCAGTTCCCCCCGCAGGTTTTTTTCGCCAGCGACACGTTCTTCCTGGCAGATG